AAAATTCAAGCAAAAGGGAATAAATGATACGTGGCAAATAGATTTAGTTGAAATGATACCCTACGCTAAATTCAATAGAGGATATAAATACATGTTAACAGCTATAGATATATTTCCAAAATACGCTTACGCAGAACCTGTAAAACAAAAAATGCTGAAAATGTTTTAAACTCTTTAAAATTAATAATTAAAAGATCAAAATCAATCCCCAAAAATATTCAATCTGACGAAGGCAAGGAGTTTTTTAATTAAAAATTCCAAAATTATATGAAAGAAAAAGCAATTAATCATTATCACACATTCAGCGAAATAAAAGCATCAATTGTCGAAAGATTTAATAGAACATTAAAAAATATGATGTGGAAAACCTTTAGTTTAAATGGAAATTATAAATGGTAATTATAATTTTTAAAATCGCTAAAGTAAATAAAACATATCCCATTACATATCAATTAGTTGACTATAAAGACAATACTTTTTCTGGTGGTTTCTATAAGGAAGAACTTACTCCTGTTAAATATCCTGATGCTTACCTAGTAGAAAAAATTATTAAAAAACAGGAAAATAAAGTTTTCGTAAAATGGTTGGGGTTCAGCGACGATCATAATACATGGATCAATAAAGATAGTATTATTTAAAACATAGTACATTATATACATAGTTTTATTTTTCGACCTTTGTACAATAATAAAAATTGGAGAAAGTAATTCTTTTGTTTGTTTTTTATTTTTTAGTTTATTTTTATATTTTTATTTTTTTACAAATTTAGTTTTGTTTTAACCTCTTATATCTGTAAGGAAGGGAGCTACCATCTACAGCAAAGTTGCGTTTTTCTGATTTCGGTTGATATACTTTTATTTGCGGAACCGTTAGTACTTTGTGTTCTTTGTTCCGCCTAATATTTTGTGATAATATATAAATTTCGTTGTCTGCTTTTGGGTTTAACACAGATTCTTTGATTGTGTTAAAATTAATTTTTTGGGAAGCTTCATAATTTAAACAAAAACCCTTAACTTTACATATAATTTTTTCTTCTTTATCTTTTGTACTATATACTTTAAATGAGTAATTTTTGGGGCCACCGCTTACAAATTCTGTTATGTAGCTATCTTTACCATAACATTCTAATTCATCTGCCATGTCACCAATAAAATCTCCTACTGAAGGTTCATAGTCCCCTTCACGACTGATATACACTACGGAATCAGTATCGTAATATAAGACTCTCTCTTGAAGTTTTTCTAAGTAACTGTACAGTTTTAATCGCGCCTGAGTTGTTGTGTAAGCAGCAATACACACATTAACTGTTGGTAAGGAATCCATTACTTTTTCCTTGTACTGCCAATTAACTATAATGTTTTCTTCATTTACCGGAAAAATATAACAAACTTCTATAGATGGGTTTGTCAACAGGTTGTACAATTCTCTAGGCTGGTTAATGATTGATGTTTTTTGTAAATTTTCTCTTTGACCAAATTTGCCCCAAAATGAATTTAACATTAATTTGGCAAATGATCTTAAGCCAGGATTGTTGGAAACCTTTTCATGCTCCAATTGAATATCTTCTTTATCAAAAAAATCTGTAACATAGTTTTCTCTTTCGTTATTAGTGACACATTTAGATGGCCAGCCTGAAGCTTCTTGTTTAATTTTAATAAATTTGTTCATCATATTTGTAAATAAGCCCTGTGTATCCATGTTTTTATCATATTTTGTAGTTTGGTATTCCCAAACTTCATAAATTTCTAACATTTTATAACCTTTTTGAATAGCTTTTACAACTTCGTCAATTACCCATGTTCCTATTAAAGCTCTTTCTTCATTTGAATGTGGACAACATTCTTCAAACCATTTTTCTTCACTACAACTTCGACATAATGAAAACATTAGCTTGTTGTTTTGTTTTAGTGGGAGAACGGGATGTAGTAAGTTCGTTGGTGGTAAAATTTTACATTTAAGAATTCCGTCCATGTTATTTAGTTTTAGAGTAGAACAAATACTTTCCTCGACATAAATTTGCGGGTGACCAATAGGAAATTTTCCGTACTTGCAAACCCAAGGGTATAACGAGCAAATGTCTATATATTTTATTTTTTCTTCCTCTTTATATTTATAATAGTTGTAGACATTTCCTGTTCGTCTTCCATGAACGTACAAATGATTCTTTCTGTTTTGCTGTATGTCTGATGTTAATATTTCTTTTTTCTTCTTCCCATACTAACCATTGAATTGCCACTTTTGATTGATTGTCTGAGTTTCTGTATCCATGTTTAGGAATTAAACTAATTGTGTCCTCTTTTAAAAAATTTCTTTTAAATGCAAGATTGCATGCAGATGCAATTGTTGTTGCTTCTAGAATTCAACATTACACTGCTTCAAGAACATTTCTCTGAATTTTAAACAAGATTGTGTTAAAATGGTAACGTCAATGACACAGTATTCAATAATTTCTTTTTAATGTTAAACATTTTATTTTTATTTTCTTCATACCATTTTAAGAAGGTTTCAAGGTCATCTACTTTCATGTCGTTTGGATTGTAATATTCTACAGAGGGTAATTGCCCAATATAATTTTCATTTTTCGCTGTGTTAAAAAGATGCGGAAAATACCCTTTCTTCATATTAAATTGTAGATCAAAAGCTTTTGGTAATTTCGACAAAGGCAAATGGCAAAATAATTTAACGAATCTATAAATTTTATATTTCCCAATAGCATCATTATTACTTTTGTACCCCTCATTATTAGTTTAGTTTGTAAGGATGTTTTTTCTAAAATAAAATTCAAAATAAACTGATGATCGAAAGCTTGCCCATTGTGTGCAATTACTATAATATTTTTAAATTTTTTTCTCATTTCCAATATGTAGTTAAGAAAAGTTTCTATAATATTTCCTTTTTCAATTATTTTTCTTCTAATTTTGCAATTTGCGCATAAATATAAAGATACAATATCAATACATTGATCGCACCTTTGCTCAAAAACACATAAAGTTGTTTCATGTTGTTTAATGACTGTTTTATTATTTTTTACAAGTTTTTCTTCAAAAATCTTTTTTTGTTTTGTTTCTAAATCATAAAAAATGAACAAGAAATTTTTTAAATTGGGTTGATTTTTATTTGGTTGGATATAACATAAATGGTTACATTCCACGTACTTATTGCATATTTTATAAAAATTATCTGTTTTCAAAATGGAACCAACCGAGGTTGATCTTATTTTGCAGGAGTTCATTACTCCATACAACGCTGTGGTAACGGACTGTCAGACAATTGTTCCACCAAAACGCAAAAGAATGAAGCTGCACCATGAGGTGCATATGACACAACAACCACAACAGCAACAACAATCACAACAACAACAACCACAACAACACCAACCACAACAGCAACAACAACAATCACAACAACAACCACAACACCAACAATCACAATCGGAACTATTGTTTATTAACGCGTTTAATGAACAGCAAATTTTTTTTTCAAAAAAATATATAACTGTTTCCGAAATGGAAACAGATAAAATCTACGCCTTAAATGGCGTAGAAAAAAAATATCCCAAAAGGGGAAAATTTATTGGGTGTTTATCACCCAATCCTTTTTTATTTTCATGCCGTTAAAATATGTGAATTTATTTTCACAAAAAGAAGAATATTGCCAAATGGCAAATTCAAACAAATTTTTAATTAAAAAAAATAAGCATGGAAATTTAGAACTAAGTTCAAAGTAGTTTTTAGTTTTTATAAGTAACGATTAAGTATAATGAAAAATAAAAATAAAATTTTTATAATAAATAAGAAGTTTTTTGTTATTTAAAAATTTTTCAAATTTTTCAGAATTTCTATTACAGCTCATTTTAGTCTTTTCAGATTTAAAATAAAAGGTAACTAGACCTACGTACATATGGATGTTGTATAATAAGTATTACAACAAAAATTTTATAGGTACCTACATCTTAATTTTTTCTTATCCGTAATTCTTATCTACAGGCGTGTTCTTTTCACTTATATTTAGGTCTTAAGCTATGTTGTACATTATACATAATATTTACATATGTGCATATCATATTTTATTTTTGGTTCTTTACATATAAAAAATAAAATTAAGAATGTTATATAATATATGCGTATTATTACATAAAGAATTTTTTATGTTCCACTTAACAGCTTCATAATCAAAACCAGGTAATTACTATTAAAAATACAGTTCTATGTTATATATTCTTCTATTACATAATATTTTTAAACCTCCAGCACTTTTTCTTTTTTCTTTTTATTTAATTTTCTGACCTTAAATAAAAATATTATTCAAATATGTAGGTATATGCATCATAAGATTATTTCTTTTACCTCTTTTAACGCGAAAAAAAAAACAAGAACAGCAAAACAAAAACAAAACAAAAACAGCAAAACAAAAACAAATGCTTTTTAAAGGTAACTCTGAATCTTTTCCTATTTATTATTCTTATGCGCAACTCTTATAAGCATATTTTTTTGTTTTCGTCTCTTCAGATTCTAAAAATAAATATAAGTACGTTATAATAATAATATTATGCGTTTATGTCATTGCACCAAGAATTTTTTATTCTTATGCGTAATTCTTACATGCATGTCTTTTTTCTTCTTTTTACCTCTAATAATTACATAACCACATATCATCCTTATAGAAAAATAAATTAAGCTTTCTATTCTTTCCTGATATCCCATTACATAAAATATATTTTCAATCTATATGAGTCGAGCAATACACGACTTCGACAGGTAAACAACATTCTGTAAACAAGATTAATGACCTGTTAAACCAGACAACTCCTCAACTCGTAACTTAACTTCTCAGGCCAACTTCCTAAAACTTCTTACTTCATAAAAACGTATAATTAAACTCGTATCACCTATATACTTCAAAAGGTCAATACCAGTTATATGGGTCACGACACACTTAAAGAGGTCACACGTATATAGGTCATGTTTTTTTCCCATCCCAGAGTGCAAGAATACCTACTTATGTCAACTGGTACATATGATGAATGCTATCTATTTGCTTTTAGATTTCTTTTACCAAAACCTAGCAATCCACCAATTGTTTTTTTTGTGTGAAATCAATATCTTCATCTGAATAAATTTCACATTTCAATGTATTATTATTAGCTTTTATTATTAAGGAATTGTATGAATATCCATCGTTACCACAAAATAGTAATCATCATATTTGGAATGTAAAAACAACAACTCAATTGGAAAAACCACGTTACATTATTTTTGCTCTGCAAACAGATAAACTTGACCAAGTGACGAAGGATCCATCAAAATTTGATCATTGTAATATAACTGATCTCAAAGTTTACCTAAATTCAGAATGCTATCCGTATGAAGACATGAATTTATTTTTTGAAAGAAATCGTTACGGTATTGCTTATGATGAGTACACAAGGTTTCGAAGTAGTTATTACAATTACCCTGTATCTGAAGCTTTATTAACATTAAAGGAATTTAAAGAAAAAGCTATGATTTTGATAATAGATACTCGTTATCAAAATGAAAATCTAAAAATGGGACCGGTTGATATTAGGATCGAATTGAAAACTTCAGAAATGATACCCGCAAATATCACAACTTACTGCCTAATGCTACATGATAGACTAGTAGAATTTACGCCATTGAGCGGGGAAGTCGTCAAAACTATTTAAAGAAAAAGAAATGATAAATTGCACATGTAATCAAACTGCAATAAGATCATTAAGTATCACTTCAGACTCGTTCTGTGTATTAGATATTCCACCGTTTATTGGAGGGGGTGCTTTCATGATCATCTTACATTGTACAATAGGAAACTATTGTACAAAGGATACACTTATTTAAAATTTCGTTATCAGTCACAGAAGTAAAAACAAAAACTATCATGGATTACGTCATCATCGATGTACAAGGTTTTAGAGATAACAACAATAAATTCATATTAAAAGAAATTGCCTGCCTTTCTTCAAACGGTGAAGTTCAGCATTTTATCATAAGACCACCATATGGATATCATATACTCACATCTAAAACAAAGTATACAAATAATTGGCTGACGAATAAGCATCATGGTTTTCAATGGTCAGATGGCAAAACGCATTTTTGCGATGTCATCAATTTTTTGAAAGTTTACATAAGTCATAATGCGATCATATATGAGAAGGGCGAAGAAAAGAAAAAGTGGATTAATAAAATTTTAAATCATTACAATGTGATCGATTTAACCATGCAAAATTCAACAAGTTTAAAAAAATTTGAATGTCGACAAATTAAATGTTGTTTTAATCATATTGGAATATGTGCTGTTGAAAATATATATAAATTAAAAAAAATGCTGATCTAAACAATATTATTCTATTTAAGCAGAGAACAACAATCGCTTATTATTAGATACACTTTCAAAAATCAGAAAGATGGATCAAGAAGAAGTTAAATTGCTGTCGCAAAATAACTCGCCCAAAAAGCAGAACAATGATGTAAGAAGCATTGTGAAGCCGGCAACTTCATCATCGTCATCATCATCATTGTCATCGACCTCAATATCCATTAAATATCAAAAATTTAAATAATACTGTCATATTATTATTATTATTATTAGTAACATTTATATGTTAATATTAAAACACAATAAAAAAACATAAAATAATAAATGGTTTTATGAAAAAAACAAAAAAAATGCATTTAATATAATTGAACAGTCTGATTATTAAAATTTTTATCAAGCTTAAAACATTTGGTCCAATAGTAATTTTTGGTAATTTGTTGTCGCATAAGAAAACTTTTTTTTTCTAATCTTTTCCGAAGTTTAAACATTTTGTTTAGCTTTAATATGAAATGTATAATTTTATCTAATGAAAACATTTTGCTAATATGAATTCGTACTACTACAAAAATGATATCAATTGGTTTTATGAACAAGAAATTTAGTATAAATAACATCAATTAAATAGTCTCACCAACTTTCGTCAGACTATAAAATGTAGCGAATTGGAGGTCGATCGAATATACCAAATATCGGCATGTAAAAGGATAGCCACAAAATTTGGTATCAGCATACTGGTTACTGTCAACGATTCATTTGATGTATTTTTACCGAGCCGATTTTCGAAGATGTCTTCGAAACTGGTAAAACAGCTTAATATGGGTTTGTACAATTTTTAAGTAAAGAGTATTGTAAGCAGAACAGTGGATTTGGAATTCACCAGAACGATCGAGCCTATTAAATATTATCCGATGATGATGATGATGATGATGATGACACTGAGGAAGAAGAAGAAGTTGAGTAAAAGAAAAAAAACAAAATTGTATATGTATTGAATAAAATTTTTAATAAAAAAGTTAAAAAAGTTATCAAAAACCACATATCTTTTTCTTTAAAATTTTGATTATATATTTTTCTCTCTGTTTGTATAAAATCCTATTACCATTTTCGAAAACCTCTATAAGTAGTTTGTATTTCAAAATGAATTAAGTTCTTGTTAAGAAAGTTTTTTTAGTAAATAAAATGAATAAAACTTGTCCAGTGTGCGCTAAAATTTTCACTTTCTCAACAAATTTGAGAAGACACATAAAAATTCATACAAATAAAGACAAAATTGAGTGTGAAATTTGTAAAAAAACTTTTGCTCGCTTAGATGCTTTAAAAAGACATAGGGAGCTCCATAAAAAGCCTAATCAAAAAAAACGTAAAATAGCTATAACAGATGATAATACTTCACCTGCGAAATTTGAAAAGCTATCTACAAAATATTGTGATGATTGTGGAGTAGAAATCCCCGAAAAATCTTGGTATCACCATATCCGCACAATCACACATAAACTAAAAAGTGCTGTTGTCATCGATAAATATTTGAAATGCATCAAAAATGCATTCCAAGGAAGAATAGTAACATTTATTCGAGAAAATGAAAAGGAGAATATTCTATTACCAAAAGATTTTCTTGATAGAATCAAAACAGAACTAGTTTCAAAATTAACGGAAGTCTTAGAGCAGCATATTTCAGTGAAATTCAATTTGGAATTATACGCAAAATTTATCAAGCTGAAACATGTCGAAAGTAATGAAAATGAAGAAAGCATCAAGTCATTTAATTCTAAAATGACTGTTATTGACCGCAGTACAGAAATTAATAATGCTTTTGATGATATGACTAGTGCAATAACAACTCAAGCTGAAGAATTCCAAGAAAAAGGTAGCGGTTGGTCCTTAGCTCAGATTTGTTTCGTTGAAATTAATGTAGCGAAGTATACACCGATAAAAGGAGGTAATTATATTAAGCTACCTTTAAAAATTGAATCCAAAAAGGCGTGTATTAATATTAAGAACAAGGATGAATATTGTCTAAAATGGTGTCTTATTCTTTATATACTCAAAATTATTCTTTATATACAGAAATTAATAATGCTTTTGATGATATGACTAGTGCAATAACAACTCAAGCTGAAGAATTCCAAGAAAAAGGTAGCGGTTGGTCCTTAGCTCAGATTTGTTCCGTTGAAATTAATGTAGCGAAGTATACACCGATAAAAGGAGGTAATTATATTAAGCTACCTTTAAAAATTGAATCCAAAAAGGCGTGTATTAATATTAAGAACAAAGACGAATATTGTCTAAAATGGTGTCTTATTCTTTATATACTCAAATGTTAAATAAAATAGCATTAAGTTCTAATGATTATAAAAGATATGTACTTGAAAATAAAATTAATACTTATGCGTGGGCTCACTATAAAATAAAAAAATAAAAACAATTTTTAAATATTATGTTGTAGTTTTATTTATCATTCGCAACACCAAATGTTTTTAATCAAAAGACTTTTTATCGTCCTTCTTATACAATTTACGAAGGCTTACAAAAAGTATGTTAAGTATGAAATGCTTGCAAATATTATGTTGTAGTTTTATTTATCATTCACAACACCAAATGTTTTTAATCAAAAGACTTTTTATCGTCCTTCTTATACAATTTACGAAGGCTTACAAAAAGTATAAATTACCATTCTTTTCTAAGATTTTTATTAGTTTCAATTAAATAATTTATTAAAAAACAACAACACACCATGCCTACTGAATCAGTTGTAATTCGCCAAGGGTATCAAATTGATGGATTCCCCCTATCCTTTCAACCATAAATGACAGATATCCTTAGATAGCTAACTTAGAACAAATCGCTGAAATCTGACATTTTCATGATTTTAGTTCTTCTTACAATAAAGAGTGGCGCTAATAGTACTCTTTTTCAAATTTAAAGTTGTTATTTTTTTTGTTGCGTTTCTTAGGTTACCTTTTCTTTTAGAAAGTTTTCGTTGTTGTCGTTGGTTATATTTTGAATGAAGTTTTGTGAAATTTAAATAAAATAATATGAACAGTGTAAAAATTGAATTAAAATAATAAATTAAGTATTATATTTATATAAGTGAATATAAGAATATTTAAAAAATATTTAGACAATGGGTGTTATTTCGTGTTGTGTGCCTTTCTGTAAAGACAAAATAAGTAAAAGACATAGATTCCCCAATCCAAATAAAAATATTGAAAATTATTTAAAATGGAAATGTTTATTTCCAAAAACAATATTTAAAAATCATAGTGATGATTATATTTATAAAAATTTAAGAGTTTGTGCAGTACACTTTGAACCAAATTGTTATTCAATTGGGTATTCAAAATTAAATTATGATGCTTTTCCAACTGCATTTATACCAGGTGAGTGAATTTTTTGTTATTATTAATGTAGCTTATTAATAAATAATAATATTTATTTGAGTAGAAATACTTGAAGATGATATTGATGACCCGGTATTACAATTTGATAAGCAAGTAATGCAAGTTGATGACCCAGTAATACAAATTGATAATTCAACTATTGCAGAACCATGTAAGTAAAAATTTTTCGTATCTACTAACTTTATAAATGCAGTTTGAAAATTACTTACCTTTTTAATTACCATATTTGCCTTTAGTCGTGATATTTATTTTAATGAGACTATTCCTCATAACTTTTTACCTAATTATTTTTATACTTTTTCTGTAGTAAATATATTCTTTATACTTTTTCAGTTATTGATTCATCTTCAGGAACTTCTAAGAAACCTGAAGAGACCTCTGTTTCAATTAAAATAAACAAACAAGTTCGTTTATTACAAACAGAACTTCAAAAAATTAAAATTTTAAGAGAAAAGGGAAAGGCAAAATTGTTCGAATTGAGAAAAACTCTTAATTCCAAGCATTTCACTGCTTTGAGCAACAATTTATCTCCTAATGTTGTTAACTTCATAGTAAGTCAAATTAAATGCTCAAAAGTGAAAGCGAAAGGTCGCCGTTTTAACTTGGACGATAAAATTTTGGGGCTATCAATGATGAAGCAAAGTCCAAAAACTTATAGATTTCTTCGAAAAATATTTCATCTACCTTGCAGAGCAACTTTAAATAAAATCATACAAAAAAGCAATATAAAGCCTGGTTTTGATTTTAAGCTTTTTCAGTACCTTGAAGAAGTTGCTAAGGAATTAAAACCAACTCATAAATATTGCAATTTAATGTTTGACGAAATTAATCTTACAGCTCATTTGGACTTTGATAGTTCTGCCGATAAGATTATTGGATTTGAAGATTACGGTAATGATGAAACAACAAAAAAAATTGTCGACCATGCTATTGTTTTTATGCTGCG